TGACTAAATGCAGTTATTTGTGCATGGTTCATAAACAATGTAAATCCATTCAGTGCTTTTCAGATTTGCACAAAGTGTGTTTTGTTATTGCATGTGATATTTTCTATTTTTATCTTCTTAGGATGATGTTCTTATGATGTTCACTTTCTATAGCTATCCCATGCTCTCGAGATCATTTCATTTTCATGTAAAGCTGTTTTTTAATGATTATATAAAACAACTGATGGATTGGTCATTTGATTGGGATTCAATCACCAGTTAACATCATGATACTTGTGTTTTAAGACAGTTTTTTCACAGTCTTCATTCTGACATGCAAATAGATGTAAGTGCAAAACTTTTCATCCCATTCTATTTGATGTATAGCACCATGACATATATAAATTGAAATGGGCTATAACTAATGCTATTAATCACACCTGTGTTTAAGCAGAAACAATCTGTCAAAATGAACCTTTCTGAGGCAGGAGGCTTGTTTCAGTGTTTACACCCTCTGGCAAAAAATTATAGCATCATTGCATGTGGAGGATCTTCATTCAACTCCTTTACCTTGTAGCAAATAAACAAACTGTGTCACAAAACTGTTTTTGTTTAATAGCGGAACATGAAAGATACCTCAAGCACATTAAGTAATTGTAATTAATGTATTTGGTTTTTTCAAAATCAAGTAGAGGAAGAGAAGCTGTTGCACCTGGCTGATTGAAAGGAGGCAAGCCCCCAACAAGAGAGCTGTCAGTTAAATCAAACTCATTGCCAGAAGAATCCAACACTAAGTGTGGCTAAAATGTTGTTCCCAGTCAACCATGTCTATAACTTGGAGTATGTACAACCAAAATGGGAAAGTTCTAGGAGGAAAACTTGCGGGTAGACAGGAGATGTCAAAGTGTCAGGATAGAAAATCAAAGCAGAATGCCCTGAAAATGGAAAATGTTTAAAGCTGTTAACAAATGGGCCGTAATGTTTGTGACAGAATTATAAAAATGAAATGGGATCTACATACAGAAAACCAAAAGGAAAACCAGCACTAACATCCATACAGAAACAAGGTTGCAGTGAGCTAAAAAGAGAAAGAAAAGAAGCAATCTTGGGACTATAGATGATTGGATGAAAGTGACCCCAGTGATAAATCACAAAGTCAGCCAACTGGGCAAGAAAAAGATACCCTGATGCTGTTCCAATGACACATTTATGAAGATGACTGCTTGATGAAAACAAGCAAACTTTACTAGATAAAAGGCCCGGGGAAGATGGCAATCATTACTTCAGCAGTAAATGCAGAAGTGTACACTCAGATTTTAGGACCCTTCTCATCAGAAAGCAGGTTTGGTGATGATAATAAAGTCATTTATCAGGTTGACAGTACCTCTTGCAAGAGCCTTAAGAAGTTATAGAGCCTTAAAACCTTGAATCAGAAAAGGCACATTACCTCAGTGCTATGGACACAAAACAAAGGGTTAAGATTTCAATCTGACTGAAAATTTATGGTGAAAAACTGAGCTCAGCTGTTATTTGAAAACGTTGGAATTAACCAGATGGAGACTATTGCTTTTCATTAGTGAGCTCCATGCCTCAAACCTTTTGGGGTGTCATAGAAGCCTGAGGAGGTACTAAATTGAGATGATTTCCTCAACAGTGATTCCATTTTTTTCCCCTCCAGGTGATCTTGAACAGAAATGTCATGTATTAAAATAGTTGAAATTAATTTGTTTGAGGTATGATTCATGAGGCCAGAATGTTCAGCTAATGAATAAAATAGTTCTGTGTCATATCTCTGATTTATTATTGTGCCGTGATACCATAGTTTTGCCGGGGGCTGTAGCTGCTCCTCCTGAATTTGACAGAAGTCTGCACATGCTCTAAACTCCACAGTTAAGGTGCATTAAGAAACAAAATGCAAAATGTAGTTTATCAGTTGTACAATAGAAAAGCCTGTAGTTCAGTAGTTGCAGTCCAGCTAGCACATAATCATTTTAAACCTGAAAGGTTCTTGAAGCATGCTTTTAATCATAAGGATTCTTCAGCTAATAATACTTTGCTTTGTGAAGTTTCCCATTATTATGTGGTTTAAAAAAGTGTGCTGGTTTTAGACTCTGGCAGAAAGAGTCTTATTTAAATGTATATTTAAATACTATTTAAATGTCTTTCTATCCTGCATGCTATGAACTTGTAAGCTATTTAACACAATTAAAAGTTTTTAACATCAGGTGATCCATGACTGGCTGCTTTACTTTAACTTTATTCACAGACTGCAGTGAACATACTTTGACTTTGGTTGACTTTGTAGTGTTGTGGGAGGACTAGACTAATGGGACCAGTGACATAAATGTGAACAAATAGCAATGCCTTAAATCTAATCACTCATCTAAACCAAGACATGCTCTATTTCATACTCAGCAACAAGCACCATGCAGCACACTGGCGATGAAGCACTAAATGTCACAGTACAAGACACTGACTCTATTTTAATATTGTTAAGACCTAAAGCATTGTTTTTTAGCTCAACCCAACCTTAAAGTTAGAAAATACATACAGCTAAAAGAGTTTTTCATACTATAGCAAATATCTCAGTGCAATAGTATCTGCTCTTCACATGCTCGTGTGTGTGTGTGTGTGTGTGTATGTGTGTGTGTGCACTCTCTCAAAAGTCTTCATAATAGCAGGAAAACATATGTAGGTCATTGGAGACCAAGTGTCTGCCTATTTTACTGCCCGGTTACTGGTTCTGGCCATGCGTGTGATTGGAGGGTAATTGGGCTGTAACATCACTGGAAATGTGGGGTAACAATGGCTGCTTGTCGCTTCAGCAAACAGACCATCTCATAAAAATCAAACCTGCAACTGAACCCACTAAACGACTTCACACCCTGTCAATTACTACAACCACAGAGCAAACAAGCCCGAGTGAACGTTGGCTCATGTGTTTGACGGGCAGATGAGAAATTCTAGCGTGCACACAGCTCGCTATAAAACTTCAAAATACCAGTTCTGACGTCAGTCAACGTGTAAAAGAGAGTAAAGCGGCCTCGGTTTGTTGAAGTAAGTTTGAGGATTTACTGATGTGCAGAAATCAACAAAGGGAAACCAACAGGAGCCTCGGGAGGTTCGTGTCTGTGGATTCCAAAATGTTCAAATTCTGGACACATCTCATTAACATGTAAAAGTCTTACAGCCTGCGGAAAATAGCTTTATGCTTTGGTTTCCAGTGATTTAATGGGAGATTTCATTTGGTTGTGCAGAGATTTACCTCCAGGCTATGGGCACATCAAGCAGAAATCTCTGAGGTTGAAAAATTATATTCACTTTGTCAGGAAGGTACATTTTGTTTTGAGTCTGGCATTACGTTTAATGTCACAGCAACTTATGGAAAACTAGCATGGGGGAATATTAACTGGCAGATTAAAACGATTTTATCCAAATACGGTGATTTCCTGTTTTGAAAATAATAAAGTTGAACTGAAATAACAACCTCAAGGGTTCAAAATGAGAGCCCACAAAACCAATGGATGCCATGACACTGGCCACATCCATCATATACTTATATATACTTTATATCACTGATAGACATAAACATGGTCAGCTATTACTGAAAAAGGAGATATAAATTTTCTAATGATCAAAGTCACTTTGGCTGTTTAACCTCTGTTATTGACTATATATTGATTATTGTACAAGTGTAACAAACACAATAGACTTCCCAATCTTAAACATATAAATCAAGTCTAAGCAAAGGCTAAAGCTAAGGATATTTCCAGTATATGTTTATTATATTTTACTTTATTTTACTGCTTCAGTCTGTCTTTTTTATATCAGTTAACTAAATTGTTGTTTTACACTTTAGTTTAATTTTAGTTAACTAAAATAATCCTGATCCACAACAGCATTATTGATGCTGCTGCACTGCCACCGCCAGCCCTATCGCTCTACATTGAGTTATGACCTACATTTGCTTCCTGTTATGACTACAGCTCAGAGGGAGCTGCTGCTGTCTCCTGTAATAACAATTAAATTCAAGTGCTAAAATGGTAAAACAATATTCATATTCTTTTGTCTGTGACTTGTTCAGGTGTATCCTAGACATTTAAATCATAACAAAATCTGTCCTGTTATATAATGCTGCAGATTTCAATGTGCCTCCCAACACATGTTAAAATATAATGGCTATACTGGGCAAAAAAAAAGTGAAAATCCTACAGAATTAACTTAGAAAAGATAAACTTTTACTTCAGACTTTTATTATCACATCTTTATTTTACTTCCCCTTATATCAGAGAACAACTCTCTCAAGGTGCTAGGCTTTTTACAATCCCTGAAACCAGCGGTGTTGGTGTCATTATTCAAAATAAGTTATGTTT